ATCTTAAAAACATTGATCTAAAACTTGTAGAAGATGCCAAATTGGAGATATTTGCTGGAGTGCTATCAGATTGTCTTCTACTGCGATGAGAGTTGCCATTCTTGAAACTAACATTCTCTTTATTAATCCTAAATTTGTACCAGTCAACAAGTTTTTTCATGATAGAAGGCTCCTGTCATTTGTGAATCACAATCTACTGCTCCCTGTACATATAATTTTCTGTTCATCAAGCTGGCTTTTCTCCTGCCTGAAGATTCCTTTGCTTGAGGCATTGTATTATACCGTGGATTTGCTGAACTACAGCTTCTTGAATAAACCACACTAGTTAGAGTTTATACAACACAAACCTCAGTGGTTAGGTTCGTGCAGTATACTACATCACAAACATAGAAATTACTTGATGCAAAACCCAGCTAAAAGGAGCAGTCAATCAGCTCCATTGTGTCTCTCTAGGCCTTTAAATGTGAAACTTGGAATGTTTTTTACTGTGTGATGTTTTAAAGTTTAAAGGAAACGTTAACTACCTAGCTTTTTTAAAAGTGACTGCAGTGCGCACAAAGGTTTGATAAGAGGAACATCTGGCAAACCATGTTATTAGTCCCAATTTTATTCTTCGACATTCTTTTCTCCTGAAGTTGCTGTCCAAATCTTTGGGTTTTTGTACAAAGCTTGTTGTGGAATTGTCATTAAGGGTTGCTTCTTCCCTACGTCCCCAAAGGTAGGAAAAAGAAAATGTTAGAAGAAACAATGGCCCAGACTACTCCTCCATCTCTTCCCTTTAGGGAATGCAATCTGCAACCTTGTCCTTAAATCTCTAGTAATAAATAACTTACCGGTTCACAGATATAATTCACTGCAAGCCCTATACTTCATGTAGCAGATTCCTAAAGGTTCAATTAAGCATTATTTTCTATTCCTGATGAATTCACAAGTAGCAATACAGACTTGTTAGGCAGATTAGAACATTGAAGATTCGTCCTTTATCTTACTGGGCTTTGGGAGGAAATTTTCACCCACATTGGGCCAGTTTGTTTATTCTATTATAGTGGCCTTACAAGGGAAGATTATAAGGAAACATTAATATATTGTAGAGGTTTCTTTTTTTAAAATATCTGTTATACAGATTACTTTTCCTAAAATCTCAGAAGATCGTTGTTCTAATTAAACTTCATGGCAGTGAGATTGTGCAAATCAGGTTGAAGTTGAAGTAGGAGTCAGAAGCATATAAATTATTGTATAAATTAAGAGCCAATTTAAAACTGAATGCTGAAATTTAACTACAGTGTAGGAAGGTTCTGAAAGTAGAAATATATTCATTTATGCTACTGAAATTCTGTAAGACTTATCTTTCCTACTCCCATCTTTCCACCAGCATTAAAGAAAGGCATTTGTAACATTCCAGTACAATATAGTCTTTTTTTCATAAAATAAACAAATAAATAACATTAGTACTTTTATTAAACTGAGCAGAACCATTAGATGGTATTGGGTGATATCTCTTGATGATATCTCTTGAATGAGAATGAGAGAAAATATAATTAAAATTTGGTTCATATGTACAGAAGTCTATGTAGAGAATTTTTATTGGATTAATGTAGTGTATTGTAAATTCTATTATCTTTTGTCACATTTTATGGCAATTTAATTGAAAAGTTTGCATATTTAATATGCAGCCACTGCCACATTTCCAGCTTTTTCAGGAGAAAGCAGAGGTGAAATGTTACTGGTTTGGCCTGCTTCACCCGAATTGGTAGTAAAAAACGCTACCAGTTCGGCTGAACCAGTAGTAAAAAAATGCTAACAGTTCGGCCTAACCAGTATTTCCGATGATCAGCTGGGCAACAATCAGCTGTGCCACGCGATTTAGATTAGCTAGAGAGCAGGAAATTGTCAGATTTCTTGCTTTCTAGCTAATCTAAATTGCGCAGCACATCTGACCTCCCTCAGCTGTTGTACTTACCTTGGAAGGCTTCAAAATGCTTCTCTTTTTAGCGCCCAGGAGGCTTCCCTGAGGCCGACTCAGCCAAAAATGGGGCAAAGGGGAATGACATGACCACCTAGCCACACCCACTTAGCCACACCCACCTAGCCACGCCCACAGAAGCGGTATTAAAAAAATTTGAATCCTACCACTGGGAGAAAGGATTGTAGAGCTACAACATAAAGCTACCAATGAATGTTTGGAATATGTTTGTTTTTTTAAAAAAATCCTACAATCTTAAATCACCCAAGTAGTGATAAAGTTAAAATCTGGTTGAATCCAACCTCTAATTATATTTTGAACATGTTTATTTAGTTTTCTTGCCAATAAATGGAAGTGTTTTGTTACTGTCATTATCTGAGACATTCCATACCTGGAATCAAACGCTCTTAAGAATTATGGAGCAATTCATAAAAAGATGAATGTGTTAGGTTGTTTCCTTCATCTTCATGACAGCCAGAAACTAAAGCCTTAAAAAATTCTTTTTTTCCCCTTGGGATGTATATGAATAATTTTATATGTGGAAATTCATATCACACCAGATGAAGTTTTGACTTGGATTTAATATTATGCAAACGGATTTCTACAAGTGCAACAGCATATGCCATTATTATCATTCCCTTCACTCCCAAACCTTACCTGTACTCCAAATCAACTCTGGAGAATCTTCCAACCCTCCAGGGAAGATTTGAAGGATGCGCGTGGGATAGAAGTGCAATTAAGAATCTGTTTGCTGGCAGAATGACACAATTAGGCAACATTCTTGGTTTTTCCAATCTTTTCATACTATGACGCAAAGTTAGTGAATGCTAATTAAACAAATGTGTTCTGCCACTGAAGGATTATTTGTTCGTTTTAGGAAAGCACAAGAAGGAAAAAAGAAAGTTGTCCTAGCGGGATGTGTTCCACAAGCCCAGCCCCGACAAGACTATCTGCAAGGCCTGAGCATTATTGGGGTGAGAATGTTATGGTTTGCGTTGAAATTCTCTCAGAACATGATCCTGGGGAGTTTTAAGAACCTAAAATGTTATCCTGGCTATACATTTTGGTAGTCTAATTTCAAAAAGTTGTTTCTGAACCTCTGTGTAAGATTTTATCATGTCCTACAGTATACCAAAAATCTGGAAAATGATGAATTGTAGAGAACAGAATCATACACCCCTCAAGGTAATATTTATACTGATCTTGCTGATGGAACTGCTGAATGCTCTTGGTTTGTTCCTCACCAGTCAAGTAACTGATGTTTCTAAGCTAAATTGACATCAAGGAGGTTCTAGAACAGCAACTTCATTTAGCTTTGTTTGACAGCATTGGAATTTGAACATTTCTTGAACACATCCCATATTAGAAGAAATAAGAGATAGTGCTCTCGCAAAAAAGCTCTGGAGTTTTGTTTTTTGTTTCTATATGCAGGTTGTCTCAAACCTGTATAATTTTTTCTAGAGTTTTTTATATTGGATTGAATTTTTTTTTTAAATGGTCGCACTGAAAAAGGCAGTTTATCCAGATATTAACATAAACAGGTAATCACCTCCCACTTTAAATAAAGGTTTTGCACACTAGTTTGGAGGATGTTTTGATACCAGTTTCCTGATCTGAATGTCATAGGAAGCCACCTGAAGCAAAACGTGGAATGGTGCATTGGAATCATTTAATATATGATTAAAATAGTGTGCTCATAAAGATATTTACATCGTATGCCGGACATAACATGTGCAGGGAAGTAAAATATCACTGAAACTACAGTAAAGGTAAGCCTGGATTAGAATTACAGGCCATTGCACAAAAAAGTAAATTGTTAATTTAGCCTGTTACATCTAATGCTACATTATAGTGTGCCTTTTTTAAAAAATTAGTGTAAAATGCAAATACAGTATACTTATTCTGAGTTCATTTTATATTCAGACCATTTTATATTCAGAACATGGTTATATATTCTGGCTGTCTGAAACTAGCATTCCCAAATGCATTTGCTAATCTCATTAAGCACAACACATGCTACTTCCGGCTATGACCAAGATTTCTGCTTCACATTAAACCATGTTTTTTTTTTGAAGTATTCACTGATAAAGATTGGGTTCAACAACATGCGAATGCATAAAGCATGTTTATCTATGGGGCATGATAGCCTAGCAGTTAAGATGCTGAGCTTGTCGACGGGAAGGTTGGCAGTTCAAGACCCCATAAGTACCATATGATGGGGTGAGTTCCCATTCTTACCCTAGTTTGAAAGCATGAAAATTCAAGAAGATAAATAGATACCACTTTGATGGGAAAGTAACAGCATTCTGTGTGCCTTGGCGTACAGTCATGCTGGCCATATGACCACGGAAATGTCTTCGGACAATGCTGGGTCCCTCAGCTAAGAAACAGATGAGCCCACCCAATAAAGTTAGGACACAACTGGAGAGGGAAATCTTTATTCCCCCCCCCCTTTTTGTTATTCGATACAGGTGTTAGTAATCTTTTCAGGCAGTAAAAGGCACTTTAGCTATTTCACACAATGGAGTAGTTGTACCCACAGCATTACATTTTTTAAAAAAAGCAATTTGAAGCTTTTTGATATTCCTAGGGTTTGGGTTTGTTTGGTTTTTTTTTTTAAATTTCAGTTAAATCTCATACAAGAACACTGGTTGTATATATTTATAAGGATGTTCTCCACTGGGTTATTTATAGTCAGGCATAGCATGTGAATAACATGCTACTTAATTCCATGGCTTGAAGAGGAAATATTTTCATTGAGATTCTTAGTGAATGTTGCTGATCCTTGTAAACTCTGAACTTCCAAACATCATATATGCAGCTTTTTCTCTGTAGACATTTTAAGTGACTGAGCTATAAAATTGCTTATCATGCTTTGTAGAAAGAGACGAGTGCAGAATTTGAATGTCTTCCAGATTTTCTTCCACTATTCTCTTCTTCAAGGATGCTGTCAGTTCTTGCTAATAGTACGCTTATTGGCCACCATTCATAATTATATAAATTCTCTACTTTATAGATTTATGTAAGCTGTCTTTCTTTTTTTTAAAAAAAGCCTGCAGTGATCTTTCCTTTATAATTGGTTCTTACTGCATTGAGTAATTCTTTTTGCTGGCATGAAATTGGTGCTAAACTTTGTTGTAAGATGGCTTTTATATTTTAAAAGCACAATATGAGTGCAGTAAAACATAAGCATTGACTTTTATTTGATTCCCTTTTCAATCTATCTTGCAAGCAGAAACCTGTAAGTAGAAAGCATATTGCAAAAAGTGCAAGGGCTCTTTTTATGTGGATGAAATACATTCAAGAGTGTATTTGAAAAAGGGTCTTTCAAAGGTCATCTGAATATTCACAGCTTGATTTATTAATCTATTGCGTTTCAGGTTCAACAGATAGATCGTGTAGTGGAAGTTGTTGAGGAAACTATTAAGGGTAAGTTATTCAGCTGAAATAATGCATGCATTCATTCTTCTCAGTGCTCATTCCTGATGTTGCTTTGATCCCATATAGTATATCCCTAAGGAATCTCCTGTTGAAATATGCCCCATACACATTCCAAATACTGACTGAAATGTAAATATTTAGCAAGTGCCATATACATCACAAAAAATATACAGAAAGCTGACCCAAATTAATATAGATCACTCTAGCTGCTTTGCTCAGTAATTGGTTTTTTAATATTTAATACGTCTTAAAAATTTGAATTTCAGTGTTCCTTTTTATATTGTACAGATCATGATGTATTTCAGACAAATTAATGTTCATTTATTGCAATATTTAATCGTATCAGATATCAATTGTTGCATCAAAGATACTGGGGTTTTAGAATACTGAAAAATGTGGTATGAATTTTATAAAGCATAGAGTGCCTTTATATTCTACGAGTTCACATAGCTTGTAGAGAAGACTCACAAGACATAACCTGAATAGAAAAAAATATTTAAATGTTCCTATACTGAAAATAGGGGACATGGTGGCTTAGTGGCTAAGAAGCTGAGCTTGTTGATCGGAAAGATCAGCAGTTCGGCGGTTCGAATCCCTAGCACCATGTAAGAGAGTGAGCTCCCATTACTTGTCCCAGCTTCTGCCAACAGTTTGAAAGAATGTAAAAATGCAAGTAGAAAAATAGGGACCACTTTGGTGGGAAGGTAACAACATTCTGCGCGCCTTCGGCCCTGCCGGCCACATGACCACGGAGACGTCTTCGGACAGCGCTGGCTCTTCAGCTTTGTAATGGAGGTGAGCACTGCCCCCTAGAGCCAGAAATGACTCACACGTATGTGCGAGTGGAACCTTTACCTTTACCTTTATATCAAAAATAACTGGTTTGGCCAACTTAAACAGCAAGCGATGTGTTTTATTAATACTCTCACTGAAACTATAGCTTCTTAATGGCAGCTGACCTCAGTTCTGGATATTGCATCCTGTTTGTCGTTTGGATCCAATTGTTACAAAATCTTAACTTCCAATAAAATCTATGCAAACTTTGCTAAGATCATTAAACTGTCATGTAACAATTTACCTTTGGGATGGTGGTCAGAAGATGTTAGATAAAAATATTAGAGTTTTGGCAGTATACATACAGCCCATATAAGATAAATATACAGAAAGAGAGAAAAATGTGAAAGTACTCATGAGAGACTGTAAGTGATGTTGAGGTTAACCTTAAGGCTTTATGAAATAAGAGAGGAGTCCAGTGAAAATGACTTTGTGCAGAACGCACACAAAGGCTGTATATTTGGGAGAATATAGGTATTTGCAACATCTATACAGAGTTCTTTAAACCAGAAAAATATCTTCTACAGGCTGTTTTAAAAAAACAGACTGTAAATCAGAGATGCAGGATTTTAAATTTTTTAAGGGTAGTCAAGTTAATAGAACGTAATGTAATGAAAGGATGGCTTAAAAGCAGCAACGTCTTTTATTGGATAACCATTTGTTTGAAATGGTATAAAAGTTTCCTCTTTGACCAAGGGGTTGGACTAGAGAACTCCAAGGGGCCTTCCAACTCGGTTATTCTATTATTAAAACTTCTGATGCCCATCATTGCTCTGAAGCAGAACAAAGAGGAAAGAGAAGAGTGGGAAAAGAAAAAGATGAAAGATAGCAAATACAAAAGGAAAGAGGAATAGAGCAAATGAATTCGAAATGCCATAACGGTAACTTCATAAATGACCTGAAAGATACCTCCTTAAAACTAGATCCACCTGCAAAGTGGACATACGTACATATGGGGGAGGGGATGAGTGTAAATCCACTCTTAAATAATTTTTGTGTGTTGTGTGTAAACGGCTTCTATATCTAAAGTCAAATTTCTCCATTTTCTGGGTTCCCCATGAAGGAACTACTTGTACGAGAGCTTATCTACCAAGAAACATTGGTACAAAAAAACGTTGCTTTTTTAGAGCTTACCAGAGTGTATCTCTCAGTGCCTCTCACTATTAGCCATGTGGTGTGGACTGCTGGGTGGCAGAGGGAGCACAGCAACAAGGATTTTGGACCCCAGTATCTTAGGAGAACTAGATAGTAGCAACCCGAGTATTCTTGGCATATTTCCCTATTCCTCTTAGACATGTCAGTAATTGGGTTCCCTGGCAGGTATGGCACAACTCACAGCCTCTCAGTTTCCATGCTCCTTTTTGAAATATGTAGATAATAATGGTAGACTCAATTTATTAAAAAATAAAAATAAAGTTACATATGTTAAACTTTATCATTTAGAGTTTTGACTTGTGAGTGGATTGTAGACTTGCTTAACATCTGGCTGACCAATTATTGTAGCAGGCTGAATTGGGAGGAGGGAGAAAACATGTAGAGATGCACCAGACGTGTATTCCTGAGGGCAACTTGTTGCGTTTCTACAGAAATCCTCCGTCCAATTCAAAATTTGCTTGATAGGTGAAGGAGGAGTTTAGCATTCTTGTTCTAATATTCCTTCTCGAATGAGACAAAAATCAAGATTTACAGCTTGCCTGGGATTTAAAATGTACATCTTATAGCCCATCTGCTGGATTTATAAAACAGAGTGGACATTAGAAATATAATACTACCTTAAACTGATTTTTACAGTATTTGTGCTCTTGCTCTTGTAATGCTGTGAATATTAGCCACTTGAACACTTTTCTTGAGATCATAAAGCTTCCTGCAAAATGTCAAAACAGCTGCATTTTGTCAAGTGTATCCATATTGGATTAAGAGAAGACTAGACTTTCCGGTTGAATAAAACCTACACTGGTCCTGAGTTTCACAGAAGACTTTGTGAAATGGGTCACTGGACAGGATTACTGTAAACAAGTAAAAGGAAATTACTTCAGTTTTGAACTTTTTCAGACTTCGTCTCACCCTCTAAATCTCAATCGCATTAACCTGTCTGGTTAATATGGTCTATCCGTTCCTAGTCTAAATATTAACTAATATTTGCCAACTGTTTAGCCACCATACCAATCAATCTGTTGTTATTGGTGGGCCACTAAAAGCTCACAAGATATCTGTATGTACATTGTGTAGGCTAAAGTGGAGAATGTTTATTGACAACATGTCTGTCGGTCTAGACACCAGCATAAGCACAAAAGAGCTCTCCTGAATTCTCCTTGAACCGTATTAAATGTGACATTTTCCCTCCCCATAAGTTCACTGCCCTTTTGGGGTGGGAAAAAGTCATCAATTTGTGAGAAGCATACAGATATTTTTTGCATGTGCTGGAAACGATGGCTGACAGCAGTTTCCTAGTGCCATGTACCCAGGGCAGAAAATATTTTTACTATCGCGGTTGATACTTCTTTAGATATGATAATAAAATCTGTGTACAGAAAATATTATAAATTCAACAACCTTACTTTCTGGGGTCAAATAACTAATGGATACTTTAGTTCTGTACATGCTATTACTTTTTTGTAACAGCATGGATATAGATTAGCATGGTGCTAATTAACAGTGCTAATTACTCATCAGTGTTGCAAATCATTATAAGAAAGAATCGTGCAGCTATTCAGGAAAAGACACAGCTTGTTTGAGGAGCTGTTGACAGGTATACCAAATACCCATGCTGGATTTGAAGCACCTTTCCCATTTCCAATCTAAACAAAGGCACATGAATCACAGGAAATTAAGCTGCCTGATGAGAGTTAAACTAATAGAATAAACTCTAAAAAGAGAAGTGTGAAAAGTCTTGAAAATGTTTTAATAAAACATTAACCTGGAACTTTTAACTTGGAAAAGTAGAATAAATGTGTATTTGTAGATAAGATTAAGATGGAGTTGTTTAAAATGTAATTTGTTGAAAAACCCCATATTGCTTTGGTTTACACAAAACTTGTGTGATCATGTGTAGGTTCATGTGTCATATTAGGAAGTATCAATATAGTATGTATGATTTGAGTAATTGAAAACAGCTAATGAATAACTGAATTCTTAATCTGATAATATCTTTCAGCAATAGAATATTACTTTAAGGTGTCTGCTATCCATAATGATATTCCCAACACTCAATTTGTAAATATTCAGATGCTGAAGTTACATACATATCACCTGTGTTTTTCCAGAGTAACTTTGAATATAACTTTAAAAAAAATTATATCACCATAATAAACTGAGATATGACAATATATTTCCCATATAGACTAGCTTTAGTTCTCTGATGAATGAACCAAGAAACTAAGGCTATTGATTTTTATTAAGCTATAGTATTAAACGGCAGTTTGAAATTAATTATCAATTAAAACAAATGAACTCAATTTCACTGAACTACTGCAGTGTTTAATAATCGCTACAAAAAATGTCAAAAACTTGTGATGCCTTGGCTTACAACCACAATAACGTACAACTATAATTTCAGGCTCAATTACAGTTCTAAGTTGAGGACAACCTACTGTATATGTGCAGATAGACAATTTTTCTTATATGGTAATATAAATTGTAATACAAAGTAATTGTTTCAGTTTGTTACCACTCCTCGTACAATTCATTGATTCTATATTTATTTGCTTTGTCTGGCAAGACAGAAAATTAATATATCTACTAGCTTTTGGTTCTCCATGAACATATATTTGAATAATCAAATTATACCTGTTTCCTGTATTCTTCCTTCTTTCCACTCTTTCAGAGCGAACTTTTTAATTTCTTATGTGATACTTGAGTAGTTTTACTTTGTTTCATTCACAGCTCATAATATAGAAATCACTTTTTTAAAATAATGTTTATACCATGTTAATTTGGCATAGTTATTGACCAAACAGCAAATGAAAACTAGACCTTATCTTAATTTTTATTGAGTCTTTTTTAATGAAAAAGAATGTGAGACTCTTGATGTTGGTGAAAATTGTATTTTGGCTATATTGAAAAGAGAGTTCTTTTTCAAGTGAAGGATGTAGAAAAACTCTGCACTGCTTAATTGCTTAATCAGCTATTAGTTAACATATGAAGCTAATTGTATCAATTAGAAGGTCTCAATTTTTTCTATTTAACTAAAAAATAAAAGGGTTAAATCACAAAGAGTTTTAATTATATTTATATTTACCTTTTTACATTTGCAAGCTGCCCAGAGTCACCTTATTGGTGAGATGGGCAGCATATGAATTTAATAAATATAAACAAATAAATTTAAAAATAAATAAATTTAAATAAATAAATGGCTTTCCTTTAGAAAATTGTGCAGCATAGAAACCTTACAAAAGGAAACTTTTTCAAATATTAGCTTCAATATTTGTAAAAAGAAAAATCAACTAATACTTTAAAAAAAGTCTGTTAAACTCAATTTCATTGTTTTGGTTTTGTTAAAATGTGGAATGACTGCATTGGTTTAATGGATATCATTGAAAATAAGCATGTAATGTTTTGCCTATAGTGTGAAATCATATATTTACATAAAATATTTTCTATCTTCTGTGTTTCATCAGACAATTAATAAAATGAGACTATACTTTACATATTTATGAATTTTAATTAATACTATTATTAATCCAGCTTTGTTGGATTAATTAATAGTTGCAAAGAGATTGCTCCAGTACTTTACCCATTCAGTAGTTAACATTTGCCAATTTCCAAAGTGCCTGGACACAATCATTTGTGGTACTTGATATATTTTAATTTATTGAAATGTATGGGTTTCTGATTGTTGATTTGTTTGCTTGTTTATGATAAGTACCTTTATAAAAAGAAAACTTTGTTTCTTTAATATTCTTTGCACATTAATTTTCATTATGTATTTTTAGCTTTGTTATGACTCAAATATTTCCAACAGACTTTACATTTATTTTAATTAACAAGCATGGTGCATATTGTTAAATTCAAGAATCTTTTGTAAGTAATAGCATTAGAAAATAGTTAATTAGCTAATGATAACACTATCATTAATGTGATATAGCAAGAAAGAATAATTAGTGAACACTACAGATGCAGATACTGTACATTCCAGTATTCTATAATGGATTTCTTGGAATACTGTATCATGATATGAAAATAACAAACCTTTACAGTATTGTTAAAAAAAATCTAAATACAGTACTGTTTAATCTCTCTTACTGTACTCTTGTATTTTACAATTCTTTCTCTTTTTAATAAAGCTGGGTTCTGAACTGTAAATTTTAGCTTTACTCTGAAAAGGCTAGTGTGTTAATTGCTCTATTTTGCTTGAGCAAATTCTTCAGTGAAGAATTCAGTAAATTTGTCTCACGATAGTGAGTAGAAATGTCTGTGTGTCATACAGCGAATATTGCGGCAGTGGGTAGCGGGGGTTGGTGCTACTCTAGAATGGGCCACGGCAGTGGTAGCAAATGGATGGTGGCAAACAGATGGCGGTGAACGGGCCAGATGAATACCGGATATATGCTGGGAGGCGGAGGCAGAGGCAGATTTTTTTTTATTAATATAAATAGAAAGATGTTCAAAATCCAGGCAATATTCCGTCTATATGGATTTTGAACATGTTGCTCTTTCTATTTATATTAGTAATAATAAAAAGGGGGAAGATTTTTTTCTTGTTTTTCTCCCTAAAACCTAGGTGCGTCTTATAGTCTGGAGCATTTTAAAGTCCGAAATATACGGTATTTTAGTCTGAAAACTGGTTTCTCTGTTATGGGTTTCTATGACCATGTCCACACAGGCAGGCTTTCCCCCCTCCTCTTTGTGATGCAAGGAAAGAGAGGAAGTCTTCCGTTTATTGTTTTCTCTATCTGTGAAGTTGGATTCATCTATTCCACGGGTGTCAAAGTTGCCATGTCGTATTGCTGTCATGTGACATTTTACAAAGTTTGTCCCCTTTGCAGAGCTGGGGTGGGCATGGCTCCATGTGATACACCTGGCCCATGGGCCACCAGTTTGACAACCTTGATCTATTTTGCTAAGCTATATTGTCTAAACCCAAATTAAAAATTGTTGGATATTGTCATATATAAACCCAGCTACGAAGTAAGATTTTAGCTCATTCCAAAACTTATCCAACCGTTACTGGCATTAATACTTGCTGTATTTTTTAAAGCTTTATTAACATAGTTGTAGGTAAAAGAAAAACAAAGTGTTTACATTTTTTATTTGATTACCTTGTTTTAAAGTGTTTCACAAAGGCTAATCAAGAAGCCTTTTGATTTTAATTACAGCCAGACTGTTACTTCTAATTCAAGATTTTAAACTTTGAAATAAGCACCCATGCATGGACAGCGTATTAGTCCATGTAACCAAAAACAGAGGGCTCAGCTTGAAAAACAATATTTGAGTTATTACTTAATTCAAACTGTTGTAGTCCTCAGTTATAAGATCAACCATGTTTTAGAACTTTACTGGATACATTACTTGATTAATGAGTTTCCTGGGCATTTTTGCCTGGCTATGAAATACTCTTAGTTTAAATAGAAGCTTTAAACTATTTCTATAAACTTAGAAACGTTGTTCGTTTTTAATAGTTGAAATACAACCTTTATTCGTATGTCTAACTTTATTCTGATTTCCAATAATGAACAGAAATAATCAAGACAAAGTTAAAGATATTGTTAGTTTAAACATTGTTAAGAAATCCCCCAATATATTTTTAAAAGTACAGGACTGTTTCATTTATCGACTTTTTACCTAGTAAGTATTTGGGTGTTGTAAGTTTTTTTAAAATGTGTTTTTATTAACAAATTCAGTAGGTCGGACTAGAATTTTCTAAAACCGAAGGATTATATGTATAATAATGGCATTTTCCTTTATTTGAAGGTCATTCTGTGAGATTGCTGGGACAGAAAAAGGATAATGGGAAACGGCTAGGAGGAGCGCGACTGGATTTGCCAAAGATTAGAAAGAACCCCCTGATAGAAATCATTTCCATCAATACAGGGTAAGCATCATTCAAACTGACATAAAATATTCAATACTGCGTCGAAATTCAATTTGATTTTTGTTAGTTCTTAATGCAGTGCTGCCCAAATGATACCATCAGGCACAGTTTACAATAAAACATTGAAAATGCCAGTGGCAACATTGTAATACTTTAAAGTGCTGATTGTTTGCTTAGATTTTGGAGTCTTAAACATTGAAGATACTTGTGTATTTTTTTTTTCTTTTTCTTGGGGGTTTGCTTCCTTGAAAACATATGCAATGCTGCACCACGTCTTTTTAGTGTGCAAACAAATGTTTCTTTCCTAGCTTTTAAAATCCAGATCCCATTACCATTTTGAAATTAGAGGAACCATTTTGAGATACGTTTTGGCTTCAGTAATCACAAGTAGTCTAGGATCTACCTAAGAGAAAAAATTTTACACAACGGGGAATGATCAGATCACCTTGGAAATGAAATACCATGAGTCAAGGTATAGCAACTTTAAGAGAACAGCAAATGTTTTAAACCATGTCTTGTTCTGCACATGCCTCAAACGTTTACAGCAGATGGACACATTTGGAAACAGAAACAAAATGTAATATATTGGGATCTACATAATATGTTTTTTGAGCTTGGAACAAATAAGCTTCATTTGTAATCTTTGGAGTTGCCTGTATTCCAGTGGATTTGCCTCAGTTTTAAAGGCGTGGTGAAGCTCAAGATAAATCAGAACACAGATTTTATTGACAGTTTTGGAATTTACAGTCTCCCAATCTCCAGAATGGGCAACAAGATAAGTATTCACTAGTTGCAGCAGAAGCAATGATTTTGTGGTCAGGTGTAGATTTGATTTTCCTTTCTGTATCCTTCCTGCTGCTTTGCTTCAGCTCTCTACCCTTCCTGACAGCCCCATCCAACCTAAGCCAGTGGTGACAGTATTATTGTGATGAATTTAGGTGAATATACGTGTCCCGGGGTGATGTTGCAAGATCCAATCTTGATTGGTCATCAGGACCAGAGGTTTTGTCTTCCGAGCTTTCGGACTCCTGCTGGAGCCCATCTTCAGAGAACTTCTGGATGTTACAGTTGATCTGATTTCATCCTTAGCTTAGCAGATACTGAAGCAAAAAAAAAAAATGTTCTCCTTTTGGATGCTGAAAAAAAATACACAATATCTGAATTTTGAACACCTACAGAAGGTTTCTTGGGCAACCTTGATTTGTAACTGAATGGAATATTCTAGATTAATTCTTGCCAGCAGGGTAACTCTGGGCCAGTTGCTCCCTCTCAGCCCAACCCATATCCTAGGGTTGTTGTCAGGAAAACAGGAGGAAGGAATATTATACTGTATACATTGTCACCTTGAGTTACTTAGAAAGTAATAAAGGTGGGATTAAAATCTAATAATTATCTTCATGCTCTGGTGATTTGATTTGTTCTTATTCTGCTGGAAGTGAAGGAAAATGTTCAGATTCCCCCCTTGTTTTTTTTTCCAAAGAGAACTCAGTGGGATCCTGGTCTCATTTTCTAGAAAGAAAATTATGTGGTCTCACTGGATTTGCCTTATTCAATTACAACTGAATAATTTACAGATAATGAAACAGGTGCTTTATTACAAGGATTAGAATTAAGGGTCTGCTAATTTCTTTTTTGCATTGGTGCTTTGCACAAATAAATGTCAAAAGTTTAATTTCCTGATCTCCAGCAGCAGACCATGAATATATTTCTGCTTTGAGTTTACTCTTAACCTGTGGCATTGGGCTCATGTTGCAAGTTCATATCCGTGCAAGTTCATTACTGCATTGCTTGTTGTCACGGAGTGTGAAGAGTCATGACAAGATGGCATTGATAATAACTTAGGGATATTTCAATTTTGATGGGCTGTCCTCTCTACCTAAGACTTCAAAGCATTCTTATGTAATTGCCAAATGATCCAGCAGTGCTGTACAAGGAACTTGTCCAAAACATAGCTTAATTATTTGCCATTCTAAGTACAGACATTTATGGGATCGTGGTAATTACATGATTAGACTTCTTTCTTAATCCTGTTCTTGCAAACCAGATTGCAACACAATAGTACAAAAGTGTACTGGGTGGTTGAGCTTATTAATAGCCACTCCTCAATGCATTCTTTCTCTCTTCTCTCTTTACCTTGACCTATGTGAAGAACAAACTGAAAGATATACAACAGGCTGCCTTGTGCTGCAAGCCATGTTAATTCAAACTTGCTCAAACAGAATGTTGTTTAAGAGTGTTTGTGTTCTTAACATTTGCATATAAAAATAAACTAATACTTTAATCCTTATCTAAGAAAAGTTGTTAATCATTTTACACACTGTTACATTGCAGATTTACTTAGACATCATGCCTATTGTTTATGGAGGAACTCATTCTTAGATAAATATGCGAAGGATTACACCCACAGTAACATGGACTTCATTTTATACTCACTCATATTGAAAATGAATTTTTTTTGGTAATTATGTTTTCTTAAATCTTGCTTGTATGACAAACGAATTTCATACTTGGAATGAAACTCATGGATAAAATTTATCTAGTGACGTAAAGTGCTGCACTAGAATTGACCTTTATTTTCCTAGTAGAAAACTCTCTTTGTTAGTGTAAAACAGAACTTTCAAGGACTGCAGCAAATGCTGACTGTTTAGTTTAAACAAAAGCTGATTATTTCTGTGGTTTTTTCCTGCTCCCATCCAGTGTTCAAGATCGATCTTTCTAAACTAGTCCCTTCCCAATGCATTTTTAGATTTGTAGATGAAGGCATCTAGTGGGCACCAAGCTGGGGAAGACTTCAAAATAATTTTTAATAAAATATTTTTTTGGTTGTTACCTTTTTATTTGCCAGACTTTCTTATGGACATTTTGGTAAAATGAATGTTAAACTGTGTGGTTGGATTCACTAAACATATTAAACTATAATGTGGTTTTTTGGGTTGTGGCTAAACATGATTTATGAACCTTCTTGTATTGGTTAGTGAATCATAGCCAATTACGGACTACTCAATAAAAGTAAATAAAAGAGTTAAATCAGTCAGGACTGTTGTCTAAATTAAGTAGCAACTGGTCCTGACAATACTCCTGAGCTGTGTGGACCTCCGGAGACTAGTCCATGAGATGCCATGGAATTTACTCTCCTCAAATGAAAAATGAAGCCATTCATGCATTGTATCGGGGGGTGGGGGGGGGAGGTCTCAGTGCTTACCAAAGTGGTGTAGTTGACTGAGAGAAGGAAATTTTGTTCTTCATTTCTGGAATTGGTGCATTGCCAGGTTTAGGTTTTCCCTTAACTATTGTATTTCCCCGAAAATAAGAACCAACCAGAAAATAAGTCCTAGCATGATTTTTCAGGATGTTTGTCCGATGTTCGTCATATAAGCCCTACGCCCAAAATAAGGCCTAGTTAAGATCGTCAGCCAGACTGATGGATTTAGTACCACATTTTCCCCCAAATAAGACCTAACTGGAAAATAAGACCTAATGCATCCTTTGCAGAAAAAAATAAGTCCCTGTCTTATTTTCTAGGAAACATGGTATGATTTTACTAACTTTTTCAAACAACCAGTCCACATGAACTTGAGCAAGCTGACTAGATAATATAGTATGACTTGACTTAGGTATGAAATCAGTCAACACCAACACCTTTATGGATATAGAGCCATAACCAGAAGTAGCTATTTTTAACTTGCGCTCTCTTTGTTAATGCTCTTATTAACTCCTTTAAGTAGCTCTGCTATACTTCCACTTTCTCTTAGTCTTGTGTGACTTAGAGAAGAGGAGGGCAAGAAGGAAAAATAAGTGTTCCTTGAGGCCTGTAGAAAGCCAGTTATGCTTCACAAATCTCTCATTCTGATGCTTCTGGGCCTTCAACTGGCCCTTTGTTCTTCCTGCAGGGATCCTTCCTGCTTTCCTCCATCAGCTTCTGTCCTTATCCTTGATTTATATGCAGCATTTCCAGTTTATGTAGCACAAACACAACCACCTCCATTGTCCAACACACGTGTCTCCAAATTTGCCAGCTTTAAGACTTGTGGATTTCAGTTCCCAGAATTCTTCAGCCAGCATAGTTCGCTGAGGAATTCTGGGTGTTGAAGTCCACAAGTCTTGATGTTGCCAGGTTTAGAAACCCCTGGCTTAACAGACCTGTCCTTTATAAAACTTCACTAAAAAGCAGACCTGCCTCTTCAGACATTCTCACTACCTACATGATATGGAAAACAGACCAAAAAAGCAAAAACAAAATCCTACCCAAATTAAGAGTAAATTGCAATCCCATCTCCATCAAAGCGACTCCCTCTGTCACAGGGTCATGGGCTATCCAGTCCTACAGAAGTTGGACCTAAGATTTAAACCTCTTTTGAAGACAGCAAAATGGGTGCCTTTAATCTCTCCATGAGAAAAATATAGCTCAACTTTTGAGACCCTTTTTTTTTTCCTCCAAAAGCCTGGAATAGAATCAACCTTGCTTTCCTCCAGACGCTAAAAATAATTTGACATCTTCCATTGCAGTTTGCAAAAAGCACCCCTGGGGCACCACTGCTTAAATGACTGAAAGATTCTAAGTAAATAGCAGCACCAAAACTCAATCTGTATCTCAAGATTGCCTGGAAAGAGCAGCCCATTTCTTAGATGAAAGGATTCATGGCTGGTTAAGATTCTGACATTCCTAAGCAATCAATCAAGTACTCATCTTGGATGATAAATATGTAGTATTACAGTAGCATTTTAGTAATTAACATATTTATTTCACCCCAAACACAAACTTTGAATGTAGGTTTTGATTAAAACATGAAAAACCTGAACTTCATAATATTTGATGAGAGTTAATCATTTAAATTTAAATCTCATAAATTAGGCTTCCTTAGTCACATTGGCCTTAAGGGATCTACCCTAACTATGACTCATCCATGCTGTAAAATTATTTACTGCAGTTCCCTTCTTTATTCATGCTTAAAAATTTCAAATAGAGAAGTGAGTGTTCCTATCTGTCTCTAACTCTTAGA